AAACTGCCCACTATGTTGTTTAAGGCTTCTTCTAGTGCTGCCCCGTTATCCACGAGTGGCGTCACTAGTGGCGGTGTAACCCTGTCGGAGCCAGGTAACTTCGTGCTTGTCGAGATCCGGGCCTTGACTCTGTGCTTCAACGTCTTTTCATTATTTATTTCAGGATGCATTAACGCATTGCCGAGCCCTCTGGTTCTACTCTCTTCAGGTTGTGGCTCCGAACTTGTCCTAAACGCGAAGTCCTTTGACTGGCCCGGTGTGTTTGCCTCCTTACTTATCGTTGTCACTACACCAAATTTGTCCATGGTTCCAGTCTCTCTTCCGACGTGTGCCTCACTCTCCTGGATCGAACTATTGAGGCTGACTTGAGATCCAAAGTCCCCTTGCTCCTCTTCATCCTCTTCCTCCTGGGACTCCCCATCGTTTCCTGCTCCTCCTCCCATGCTGAATGGAAAGATGTTTCCGAAGGTGTTCTTCATTCTTTCTGAGAACGATGATGAGGTTGTTTGTTTTCCAGTTCCGCTTGCCATCATAGTGTTGTCTGTCGGAGATCTTCTAGTTGCCGTTACTTCAGTTGAGATGTCGGACAGTTCCGACATCTCCTCTCGATCCAACGTCCCGGTGGAAGTGGCAAAATCATGGCCTTGTTCTACCGGAGTAGATTCACTCGCCAGCCTTCTGCCTCTCCCTTCCAGTCCATTTACTCCCTGGTTGTCGTTCATGGTATGGTCCGTATTGACCTCCACTTCTAACAGTTCTCTTCGCTCTTCTGAGGTCTTTTGACTTCTCGTTTCAACCATTCTGCCTGAAACCGTCCCCTCTTTATCGGACCGGGTTCGCTTGATCCAATCCACAAAAGGATCGGTCATCGTTTTTCTTTGCTTTTCAGGTATGAATTTCCTAGAGCTATTACCTCGTTTTGGTATCCTTGAGTTGTCTAAACTCATTCTTTATTTGTCACTTTCCTATGCCTACTCTTGACTCAATTGCTAGAGACCTTATAGTTTTATTAACAATAATAATGACACAACACAATAAATTTCACCAGATTCTATTAAATAGTGACCACGAATCCCTGTATGTTGTCAGAGTACAGTTTGTATAAAATTTATTCACACTAGCCGATTATCGGTCCAAAGATCTGGAAACTAGCACAATATGATGTTATCAGTCAATTTAAAAGATAGTGTAGTCACCACCCAATCAAGCACAGTTTAGGTTGATTTAAAATCAAAAACAAAAATATATATTGACACAATATGAATGTATATTTTAAAAAAACGTATGCGTCTTGTACTCTTAGTCGGTCGCAGTACAATAGTCGAACCTGTCTTTTTAAAGAAAAAGCTTTCCCTGCTTGGTGCTGCACCAAACAGACAAAACTTTGAAGGCAGTAATTTTCTCAAGTGGGCGTCTATTGCACCCACCGAGTACTGTGTTACCTATCTGCCTTCGGACTGCCCGAGCTAGACCTACTAAAATCCTCAGGGCAGTCACTTTCCCCAAAAACGTATTATGTTTCAATCCACACCAATGAGTCACGCTCTTTTTAATTTAGACTTAGTGTCGCGAATATCCGAGTTCGGACCTGTTTTGTATTAGTCTGGTTCTTTTTGAGAGGCAAGTTACCAGTGCAGTCACTGATACCTAGCCTGTGTATTAATAACCTAATACCTCTCGCTTTTTAGTCTTTCTTTCGTTTACCTAAGTCCTTAATAAAATAATACCCCTCCGGATTGGCACAAATAGGACCCTTCCGGACTGTCAGAATATGGACCCCTCCGGATTTGGACCCCTCCGAATTAGCAACTATAAGACCCTTCCGGTTTTGTGGAAAGTAGACCCCTCCGGATTCGGACCCCTCTGACTTTGAAAAATTTCGACCCCTCCGGATTGGGAGCCCTTAGCTCTGTCAAAGTAGCTTTCCGTAGTTTTCTTAATTTCAGCTTATACCCCTCCGGATACGTTCTGCGTTGCTTTTATGCTGTTTGAATTAACTGGGAAGGGTATAGGTTCCTTTCCTAGACCCCTCCGGGTTGAAGTTAAGGCACTTATTTGACAATTCACACTCACGGTGAAGGGTCTTATCACTCGCCTAATTTCGACTGTATTATGGTTGTCTTGTGCCTTCAGCCCTCCCTCTTTGTCTAGAACTGTCCTAAGTTACTTAGTTCAATCGCTATCAACTTTTGGTAGAGGTATAAGGGTTTTTCAGAAAAATTTATAAAACGTGAAGGGTGTACCCCTCCGGATTTGTGTAATTTGCTAAAAACAATCTCAAAAAATTTTCTCGCTCGCTTTTCCGAAAAATTTCTGATCCTATTAGTAAGCTCAGCTAATTTCTGATCTATTGGTACCAAGATCAACTCGATATGATCAGTAGTTCCAAAGTTATTAACCAAAACTTTTTCCGCAAATCTGGTCCTTTCGACCTAAAAATTATTGATCCGAGCTCAGAAGGCCTATACTCTTCTAGTTCAATGCAAAAGACCCGATCTAAAACGCTATTGTAGAAAAAATTTGCGAAAAACTATGCTACCTGGACCCCTCCGGATTGATGAATCCACCAAATCAAACACGTTATGTTCGATTTCTCTGCAACCCGGAAGGCTTTCGGGTAGCGGATTTTAAGACTTGTAGATTCACTAGTGGACGTTGTCCGAACAACTATTTTTACTGTCCTACCTCAAAAATTTCAAAAAATTTTCTAAATTTTTAGTGTTTCTTACTATCAAAAATTGGGAAAATTTGGTTTTTGGTACCAAACTAGTTCCAACCACTTCCGAACTAAAGTTAACCGGTTCTACTTATTACAGTAGTGCAGTTACGATGTAACACACTAACTTAGCGCTTTTTTCCGTTTCAAAAAATATCGATATCTCAAAAATCGCGACTTGTGGGGGGATCAAAATATCGCTATTTTGACCCTAAAAACCGGTCTGTTTTCGTTGTTTTTCACTGAAAAACGATATGTGACTATTAATATAGGCTATATGAATAATAATATTAGTAATACTATACCCCTCCGGGTTTGTTTATTATCCAAATTAAGGTGCTTAACTCGGATATTCGCAGTTCGGTGAAGGGTCACTACAGTGCAGCACTGTCGAGCCCCCCACAGATTACTATCTTACTTTTTGTACCAAAAGGGATACAAAACTTGTTAACGATACCCAACAGTCGATTGTTGTTGTCGTTGAGCCCCTTCTTGTTGCTCCTTGAACTGCTTGCCGGATCGGTCTTCACCCAAGACCCTTCCGAATTGAGCGCAAATCAGCTGACCCTTCCGGATTGAGCGCAAATCAGCTGACCCTTCCGGATTGAGCGCAATTTATCATTAACGTGCTTAAATGCTCAAATAACCCTACAGTACAAGCCTCACAAACGGGCTACAAAATTGATCGTAACGATCCTGACTGATATAAATGCCTGTAACAACAATATATCTATCAACAACAAACGGGGGGGTTGAATCACATCTTGTCTGGGGGGATGATTTCTACTGATTTTTTACTTTTTTACTGTTTTTGGTTTTTCCGGTTATTTTTTATGTTTTTTTTTGTTTTTCTTGGGTACTATACTACTTTTTGTTTGGTTTTGCTTATATCTTTAAGTGTTTTTGGTCACAAACCACTCAGGGGATGAGGGGTTCATGATTCCCCCCACCCTTCCTGGTTCGTGAATTTTCGGTCTTAACTAGGTTAAAAAACTATTCACGGTAATCCGGAAGGCTTCCGCGTTCCGAACTACCCTTCCGCCCCGGCAGTTTAGGACTATTAAGGGCGTTAATGTGAGCATCCGCTCGGCGCGGAGTGCTCGTTAACGGTTCCGCCGGTCATGATGTTATGAAAGAATAACACCCAGGAGCGCCATAAAAACATACATGTAACATTCGCCCGGAAGATACATATCGACGGATAACAAAACTAAGTCTTAAGACGACTGGCTAGCGTCTAAACAGAGCTTTGCATGTTTTTCACCGTCTCTACCAAGCCAGTACTTTTCGGTGGTCTTTCTTACATCAGGCTGACAAAAACGTTACTGTTCTCCGGCTTCGACCAGAACGCTCAAATTAACTGAATTACATGCAAAATTAGTGAGCTCATGGCTGGGTCTCTGTATCCCCAGACCACGAGGTCACTCCTAAAAACAGGGCTACTACTTATTATATTACTATTGTTTTTGTTCAGTAGATAAAAATCATCATCTCCATCGAAGATGGATCAACCCTTTCCCCCAACTCCTAGCTTCTCATCCTTATCAAAACGAATCCAGTTGTTAATTAAATTCAATTCAGGACATGACAAGAAGCTAAAAGTTTATATAAAAGGCTAAAAGTTCCAGTCCCGAAACCCTTCCGGATTCTTGAATCCAGTGAATCAAGCTCCTTAAGTTCAATTTCACACCAATCCGGAAGGCTGGTTCTCACCCTTCACCGTTGTTGGCAAGGGCCTTGCAACTATTGTAGCAGCACAATAGTTGCAACTCGGAACGCTCTCTGCTATTCTGTATTTTGTTGTCGTTCTCTAATCTCGATTTTCGTACTGTTCGCAATCGCAGATAAAAGTTGTTCTGTTTCTTTCTGCTATTTTAGCCAAAATGGCCGTTTTAACATTTCTCAGAAATGTTACGTCATCACTTCGAAAATTTAAAATTTAGAATTCCAGAATCGTCTAGCCTTCACCGTTTGGCCAATCATTCAAATAACGTCCTTATCCGTCCTAAATCGCCAATCCGGAAGGTTCACTGCTAAAATCCTGAATTCTGCAGAGACTGCATTTTGGCCATTCTGGTCGAATGTCACAATGCTTTCTTGAATAAAAACTGCTATCTCTTTAACTGATTTACTTCTGTTACTTGTTAATTGCTACTGTTGCTAATTGTTACTGTTAATTGCCAATAAATGGTAGATTTTTGTTGTTTTGGTTTAAATGCAATTTGGTCATTTTCAATAGAATCTACGCGAAAAACGGTGTATGTCATGCCAAGATTAAAGACATGAAAATTGAGTGTCAACATAAAAAATTCAAACTCAAACTCAAACATCATTTCACTGTTTGAGTCAAACTCAAACATCAAACTCAAACAGAATTTACTCAAACTCAAACTTTAAAATCCAATGTTTGAATTCCCTGGTCCCAGTGACAACAACAACGAAAAAACGGCAGAAGATTGAAATTGTGGTTAGAAATTGTCAGAAACCACTCCGAGTTGTAACGATAAGCGTATTATTTCTCCGGATTCCAGAATCCGGAAGGGTCTCGTGATTGGGACTTGAACCGTTTTATACAAACTTTTTGCTTCCCGGAATGTCTTGAGTTGAATTTAATTAATACGAAATTCGTTTTCAGATAATGAGAAGCTAGGAGTTGGGGTTAGGGTTGATCCATCTTCGATGGAGATGATGATTTTCATCTAACAAAAACAAAAGTAATATAGCATATAAGTAGTAGCCCTGTTTTTAGGAGTGACCTCGTAGCCCGGGGATACGGAGACCCAGCCATGATCTCAATTTTTGCATGTAATTAAGTTAATCAGAGCGTTCTGATCGAAGCCGGAAACAGTAACGTTTTTTTTGTCGACCCGATGTTTGAAAGACCACCAAAAGAACTGGCTTTGGCAGAGACGGTGAAAAGCATGTAGAGCTGTGATAAGCCAGTCGTTTTTGTAACTAGCTTGGCAACACTAGCTTGGCAACACTACTGCATTTGTGCAACTGATTTTGGAAATTGCACTGGGATGTTTCAATGGCAACACTACTGCATTGGATTTTGGAAATTGCACTGGAATGTTACCTAGCTTGGCAACACTACTGCATTAGTGCAACTGTTTTTGGAAATTGCACTGGAATGTTTCAATGGCATGTATATGCAAATTTCAGATTTTTATCGCAACAATTATCTACCCGTGCTGTTATGATAGAAATCTTTGGTTTTCCTTATTAGTTTTTCAACTTGTGCAAGGTAACCGAATTAAATGGGCACTGAAAAGGACATCGCCTGTTTATGGCAGCAGCTTGGGAAGGAGGACGCAGTTTGTTTTGATGTGGACTCCACATTGGTTACAGGAGAATTCATAGACGAGTTCGCATCTTATTTGGGCGTGGGCAACAAAGTTCAGGAGGTGTAAGTCGTAGCCCTTTCAATAATAATTGGCAAACTTTATTCTGAGTATTTATGAATTGACTGCTGATTAAAGTACTCTGCGTGCAATGGGAGGTGGAATGAAGTTCTGCGAGGCCCTGAAGGAAAGGCTGACAATTATGCAACCGACATCAACTGACGTGAGTGGTTTGATCAGTTTTGTTGCCACCATTGAAAATGGGGAGGAACTGTGTTCGGGTGTGCTTTAGTTTTTTTTGTTTTCCAAGCAAAAACAGCTACCACAAATAATCATCGTAGTGAGTTATGTGATTTATCATATTAAAGTCCTTTCAGTCGTGATTTGAATGACATTAAAAAAGCTTCCAAAAAATATACCGTGACGAGGAAAACCGGTTGGAAATTTTTGATTTTTAGTCAAATTTGGTGGTGTCCGGCCTATTGCGGTCGGCGAAGTTCTCCGAAGGCTCACTGCTAAATGCCTTGCTAAAGCCGCCAACGCTGAAGCTCGTGATTTCCTGTGTCCTCACGAGCTTGGAGTCGCTACCAGCGGTGGCTCGGAAGCCATCGTCCACGCTACTAAAATGACAGTCAAAAAGTGCTCGGAACATGGTCACCAAGGCGTCTTAACAGTGGATTTTGAGAACGCTTTCAACACGCTAGACTGCACCGAGATCCTCCTTCAAGTTCGCAACCGTCTTCCCGGTCTCTCCGCTTTTGTTGAGTTTACCTACGGTCACCACAGTCGTCTGCTGTTCGAGGATGTCATTCTCAACAGCGCGAAAGGAGTTCAACAGGGGGATCCGCTAGGGCCTCTCATTTTTGCGGTCACCCTGCACTCTCTTGTCGAATCTCTCAAGTCGGAAGTCCCCGGTCTCACCCTCAACTGCTGGTACCTTGATGATGGTATTTGTGCCGGCGACGAAGACTCCTTGCTCAAGGCTCTCGAATTCATCACTTCCAACGGCTTGCATCTCGGCCTCAAAGTCAAGCACAGTAAGTGTGAGTTGTGGGCCCCTGTGGAGTTCTCGTCCATCCCCGTTTCTATCCCGAGAGCAGCGTCTAATGGCTTCGAGCTTCTTGGCGCCCCCATTGGTGATACTGAGTTCTCAGTTAAAGTCCTGGACAAAAACGCATCTCGAAAGCCACCAAATGTCTTGAAAAGTTACCTCTTCTTGATGACCCCCAGCTCTCACTTGGCATCACTCGCACTTGCCTTGCTGCTCCCAAGCTGACGTACTCTCTTCGCACTCAGCCGCCCTCTCAGCCTGTCGCAGCTTCCCTGCAAGTTTTTGATGAACTCCTCCGCGATGCTCTTTCTGTCATAGTTGGCTCACCTGTTCCTGATCTTGCCTGGTCTCAGTCTTCCATGCCTATCAAAGATGGCGGACTTGGCGTCCGGCAAGCTCGCGACCAACACATCCCTGCCTTCCTAGGGTCTTCGTGTCAGTCAGCTCATTTGGTCTCGTTTCTTACCGAATGCGACATCACTGATACGCCGGAGTTCCTGCGTGCCTCTAACGACTTCCGTGAACAGTCTGGAAGCGTTAACACTCCCGGTTTTACTCAAGAAGCTTTCCAAGAGAAACTCGATAAGGCCACCTACAACGCTTTTTTCTCGTCTCTTCCCGATTCCCGCGAGCAAGCTCGTCTCCAGTCGCTCTCTCTGCCTTACGCCGGCGCTTGGCTTACCGCAGTCCCCATTAAAGGTCTTGGCCTGCACCTGCTACCTGCTGAGTTCCAAGCTGCTGTCAGATACCGCCTTGGTCTTCCTGTGTTCACGTCTGCTCGTAGGTGCCCCGCGTGTCCGTCTGGCATTCTGGACGTCCTCGGGGACCACGCTGTCGCTTGTGGGGGGAGTGGTGGCCGGATCTCCCGTCACGACAGACTACGGGACATTATTTTCAATGCTACCACGGCTGCCTCTTTAGTCCCCATCAAGGAGCAACGGAACCTCATCCCTGGAGAACGGTCCAAACCCGGCGATATTTTTGTCCCTACTTGGAGCGCTGGTCGCCCAGCTGCTTTCGACGTCACCGTGACATCCCCGCTGCAGTTATCTCTTCTCTCTCGTGCGGCGGAGACCCCCGGGGCGTCCCTGGAAGTTGCTGAGGACCGCAAATTTTCGAAACACGAGAAAAACTGTGAGGAACAAGGAATCAGTTTTTTCCCGTTAGCAGTCGAAACGCTCGGGGGTTGGTCCGCTTTAGCTATCAAAACCCTCAAGTCAGTTGCTATCCTCGCTGATGCCAGACGTTCTGGTTCATGTGACGCTCTTGTTGCCCCAGTTCGCCTTCTCCAGAGCCTCTCAGTGAGCCTCATGAGAGGAAACGCCACTATGATTGTCAGTCGGGCCATCTAGTCTTGTGCAGTTTATTACGTTTTTGCCTTCCCAATTCTGGTGCTCCTTTGTTCCTTTGCTGTTAGTGCATTCCCCCTCTCTTTTCAATCCTCAATGGTTCATCCCACATTTGTTGTTTGTTTTGTATTCGGTGTTTGTTGTGTATTCGGTAATTATATGTGAATTGGAACTAGTAACTCGATCGCTATATGGAAATTTATTGTTTTTATTGAATTTTAGGATTAAAAACTTGAATTTATTGTAAAAAAAACGAGTTATAGTTTGAATGTTTCATTTAGCGCTTGTTCTGGCAACAAGGTTGTTTTAATGTTATTTTGAAATTTTTTTTTTCAGGTTTTTGTTTTTTATTCATTTTTGAAGACAATTATTGTCAATGATGCCTAATTCGCTAATTTTCAACGCGATCGTTTAGTTTTTGAATCACACCACCCACTAAAAACGACACTAATTTGAAAATGGAAAAAAACTTTCTTTTTTAATGAATCTGGTCGGAACAGTCTGTGCTACTTTCACTGCAGCCGACTATCCTTGTTACGCTTGAAATCAGCCAGGGTTATCTAATTGATTTTTCTTGGCGCTATGGAACAAAAAGAAATTAGCTATTGCTGTTTTTAAGAGTGATGGCGTGAAAACACTTGATTTCGGTATGTTCATTTCAATCTCAGATATTGAATATTTGTTTTTAAGTTTTTGATTAGAGTTATTAAAAATACTCGCTTTTTTTCACACAGTAACACTCAAAAGAGTTTTAGCCTTTTCACAGTTAGAAAAATTTAATTTTTTTTCAGTCCTACAATCATAAATCTACTTTCAGTAGAAAACAGATATTCAAATAAAGATTCAATAAAAATTAAGGGCGGATCTCAAAGATTCTAGTGTTGTGGTCGAGAATTTTGCCAAATGATTTGTGTTTATTCAGTTAACTAAATCAAAAGCCATTCAAACGGCAAAATTTTCATCGGTTTTAATATTGTTCAGATATTTTTTTTTTAATATATTCAACTGCGGACTTCGTTATCTCGCCACGTTGAAGCATTTTCAACGTATATTTTTGCATATTTAGCGGAAGAATTTTACCAATTTAAGCTATATTGTATATTGCAAGTTTTTTTTCAATTTTCAGAAAACCCAAATCACAAACTAATTTTCAAAATTGGAAATTCTCAACCTTGCAATTGGGTGCTGTCAGAGTGCTTTCAAGTAATGCGAATCTTGCCTCCAAATATGACTGCTCAAAACTTTGTAGTTCTTGACATATGACGTGTTTTATGATTTTTTCCATGTGTTTTTTCAAAAAACTTTGATATAAAAAATCTAATCAAATTGAGTTTCTCAACCCAGTATTTGGGTGCTCTCAGGGTCTATTCACAGGTTGCAAACCTGGCGTCCAAGTTTGACTGCTCAAATCCTTTTGGTTTTCGAGATATGGATTTTCTATTTTTTTTTAAATTTTTTTTTTCAGAAAACTTTAAAAATTTTGGATTTTAAAATTCAAAAATATTTGAAACTCCCTACCTTGTTGTTGGCTACTGTGAGGGTACTGTCAGGAGTTACAAGTTGCAAAACTTGTGTCAAATTGTGACTGTTCAAACTCTCTTAGTTTGCGAGATGTGACGTTTCCTATCTATTTTTTTTAAAGTTGTTCAAAGAACTTAGATATTAAAAAATTCACGAAAAGTGAAGTTCCAATCTCTGCAATGAGGTCCTTTCAATGTATTTCCAGGAGTTGCGAATTTTATCCCTAAATGTGTCTGCTCAAGTCCTTGTAGTTTTTGAGATATGAGTTTTTCAAAAAGTTCTCAGTAAACTCAAATTTTTTTTTTCGAAATTTGAAACTCCAAAACCATGTAGTTGGGGGCTATTAGAGAACTCTCAGCGGTTGCGAATCTTGCATCCAAAAATGACTGCTCAAATCTTTGTAGTTTTTCAGATGTGTTGTTTTGTTGTGATTTCTTTGAAAATTTTACTCCTAACCATGTAGTTAGTCTCAGTCAGATTACTTTCAGGGGTTGTGATTCTTGCCTCCAAATTTGACTGCTCAAATCTCTGCTGTTTCTGACATATGAATTTTTTAAAGCTTTTAAAGTTGAAATTCCCAACGCTGTAGTATGGTACTGCGAGAGTACTCGCAGGATTTGCAAATCTTGCGTTTAAATGCGACTGCTAAATTGTTTTTAGTTTCCGAGATGTGATTTTTTTTTCAAATTTTTTCAAAAGAACTAAGTTATAAAAAAAAACGTTATTAAGAAAAATTTGGGTGAAACAACATTTTACAAAATTTGAAATTACAACCCTGTAATCGGGTGCTGTCAGAGTACGCTCAAAGGATTCAGGCTTCTTTGAAAGTTAAACGCTAGTCCTCTTTGAAGGCCTTGCATTTTTCTCTTTCCACAACAAAATGCTTCGGTTATTAATCTCATATAGTGTCGCTCTATTTGCGATGAATGAGTTTGACTAAACTGTAATTACCTTTGCGATAAGCAAGGATACTGCAATTGGGCACTATTTGCGATGAATGAGTTTGACTAAACGGTAATTACCTTTACGATAAGCAAGGATACTGCAAAGGCACAGAATGTTCAAATGTGTAGGAATGCTCAATTTCAGACACGCTCAATTTTCGACATGCTCAATTTCTTGAAAATTCGCAGAAAACTACTTTCATTTCGGTAGAAAGTAGTTGTAGTCTGTTTCCGCTGTTTTCTTGAATAAATGATGATTTTCGGATTTGTGATTATTGGCCTAACTTCTCATTTTACCAAGTCTGATTTTTAATTGATTCATTTTTTTGTAATGTTTATTTTTTAAATTAAATGGTTT